TTGACTATCACTGCCCTGAGTACTGGCTCATTTAATCTTCATAATTTTATTTAATCCAAAGAGGTATATACTATAGATGAGAAAAATGAGAAGACAAAATGACAGTAACATTCCTGAGGTCACTAAAGTAATACATAATATAAGTGTTGAACCCATAGACCACAGTCATAAATGTGAAATTCTCATGAGGGTTCTGCAATGGATCTAACCCCTAAACCACAAAACATCTAGGTCTTTAATGTGCATGTATATTACTTAGAGGTCTTGCTACAAGGTAGATTCTAACTTGGGAGGTCTGGATTAGAGCTAGGGCATCTGCATTTTTACAAGCTCTGAGATGGTGCCAATATTGCTGGTGCCAATATCAAGGCACCAAACCACTGCATTTACACACTATTTTACCAGAAGCTAAAAGTAAGTATCACGACAAGTAGGTTTATTCTTAGTTCAGCGGTAACAGCTAATTAATTGGTTATCTCGGTTCAAAGAACATTGCAAAGAGACGAGATTTCCTGAGCCTTGGTAATGAATCTAGGCTGATCTCATGGTTAGAAACTGAGATGATAATTTTGATAATGAAATGCAGTTTAGTGTATAATGATTAACAGTGAGTTAAGTTTATAAGGCAATTCTTCTTAAATATTCGCTTAGTTGGTGTTCAAAGAGGGTCCAAGAGAAAACGGAGGATGTCAACTACGCTTGAGAAAACAGAGACACAAGGCTGCCACCACAGATCCCTTAGGCAGCAGTGACCGCAGAGATGTCCAAACCCTTCTCTTCCATCAGCTGACCTGATGTGGCGTTACGTTCCATTAACTGGCTAAGAGTAAATAGGTGCGAACAACGCTAGAACTAAAACAGTTCAGATAGAGCTACATTCTGATTTCGCTTTAAGTACACAGATAATTAAGGCCAAAGTGACTCAGATATAGTAAGAGTAATTTTCAACGGTGATTGTGTTCATTTGAACCTGTCTGAATATAAACAAGATAGCTGCATCCATCATTTTTTTACACTGCTGAAAGTTAAAGAAGCCATTTTCTTTCCTTTTTATAAAACAAATTTCATTTTACTGATTTTTAGAAAGAGAGGAAGGGAGAGGGAGAGAGAGACAGAGAGAGAAACTCAGATTGGCTGTCTCCTGCATCACTCCCTACCATGGGTTGAGCCCACAACCCAGGCAAGTGCCCTGACCAGGAATCGAACAGGCAACCTTTCAGTGCACCGGATGCTGCCCAACCAACTGAGCCACCCTGACCAGGGCAGGAAGCTGTTTTCTTATCCTACTCACTCCCTCGCTCACGACCACTGATGAGGTGATATTTGCATCCTTTTCTTTGCAGAGGCTGTAGCTGGCAGGGTTGGTTATTTTACCTCGTGTGTTTAATGAAACTAATATGTTGAAATTACTGTCTTTCTTTCTTTCTTTCTTTCTTTCTTTCTTTCTTTCTTTCTTTCTTTCTTTCTTTCATCCTCACCGGAGGACATTTTTCCATTTTTTTGTTCAGGTAGAGTGAGAGGGAGAGAGAGGAAGATAGAGAAAGAGAAACATCGACGTGAAAGGGACACATCGAGTGGCTGCCACCCACACGACCAACCAGGGCCAGGGACAAACTGCAACCGCGGTACATGCCCTTAGCGGGAATCAAACCCGGGTCTCTCTGGACCGCAGGCCGATGCTCTAACCACTGAGCCAAACCAGCCAGGGCAGAATTGCTGTCTTATATGCATATGTTATAAAATTTTATTCACAATTCAGAGTTGATCTCTAAACGTCAACTGTATTTACCATCCTAATACTTTCACTCACAATCGATCTCTTTAACTTATGTAGAGACAAAGTAAGTCAGATACATCAAGAAATGCAGCTGTCAGTCACTAAAAAAAGGAAAATCTCTACATGTAAAAACACCTGAGAATAAATAGCAAAGATTCTTCAAGCCCAGACTTTCTAAATGAATTGATAATTGATGTTATTTTTTCTGACAAATGACAAAGAAAATGCCTCCATTTTTTTTTTTTTTTTTTTTTTTTTTTGGTACGTGCCCCTAGCAGGAACTGAACCTGGGACTCTCTGGTCTGCAGGCTGACTTTCCAACCATTGAGCCAAACCGGCCAGGGCAATGCCTCCATTCTTAAAAGAAATGGCTAAGTGGCACCTCATTACCATTGTGTTCACTCAACATATTTGACATCGCTTTAATAGTGAACTTATTTTTTAAAATTTGTGATTTCTTCAAGCATACACTTACCTCTGAAACTAATGACTGGGTGTATTCTAAAGCATACTAACACTGATATTATTGAATCAGCAAGTTGTACTGAATGAGCTGTGTAGAGGTCCTCCACGGGAGTTTACAGCTACGGGGCTCCAGCCGTGCAGAGCCATCCCTGGGGTCCCGTCATTATGTGATCATGCGAGGAAGGTTTCTGAAAAGGGTAAGAGGTGGACTGGATGACCAAACCCCACCACCACCTGACATGATTTAATTATTTCCTATCAACCTTCAGGATTAGTAAAGGGACCATCACAATACCTGGCTAATAAAAAATAAAAAAAATAGTTCAGGTAGAGACATCATCAGTAGCTGTTTTGTCCTTTAAATTTTGCTGGTGTCTATTCAGAAGGTATGGATAGCACAGAAATGAACAGATAACATGGCTTTTGCTTGTTTCTCTCGCTTCTCATTGGCCACTCCTTCAGTACTCTCTGGTCCTCTGTCCTCAGTTCCTCAAAGGCACCAAGCTCCTCCTAGCTCTTTGCCTTTCGATTCATAGTTTCCTCTACCCACAATCAACACCTCAGTTGTGTTCTTGGACTCTCTTGTGGCATACACTTTCATAGTGGGACATTTCCTCTAGAATAGTTGCAGTGACTAATTTTTCTAACTCTTCATTAAATGTTTGTCTTTTCCTACTGAACTATAAGGTAGGGGATTTGCTTATTCACCATTGTACCCTTATCACTCTTCACAGTGTTTAGCCCCTAGGAGTTCAGTAAGTATTTTTTGGATAATGGAACAATTACTAGACTGAACTGCTGAGTCATTGCTCATGTTTTACAATGACTAGTGGATAACGCCTTGTGTGTGTTGAATTTTTAATGTAAAAATAGAATCTTTTATAAAAATAAATTGAGAATTGTGCAGTTGTGATTATGAAGAATTCAATCCTAAATGAAAAGGTTTTTTAATGAGAATATTCTTAAGACTTGGTGGTTATTTATCATGGATAAAGTGTTTCGGAGCTATGCCTCATAAAGATTTATTGACCAGTGTCAAGATTGACCAGAAGCAGAATTCTTAGTTTCCCTCTGCATGTATACATTAGAGATACATATGGGTGGCCAACTTTAAATTACTTTTATGGGTAACTCAGAAATTGCATTTTGCAGGAAATGACTTCTTAGCATAGAATAAATGTTTGGTTATTCACTGCTCTAGTTTGGAGTGTTTGGTATCATTGAAAAATTTCTACAATGTTTGTATTAGTTTTTCTTTTTCTGTTCATTCTATTGGCTACTGAAGTATATTGCTGAAGATTTCTGATATTTAAATAATAAAGAGAATCAAAATAATTTCATGTTAATACTTTATTTTTTATTTTTATTATTTTTTAACAGCTTAAGCTTATCACCCAAAACTGCAATACACTGGGATACGTAAGTAAAGCTCAACATCCAGGTACGATATCACCATACAGTCTTCTCTTCACCAAATACTAAATTTTGGTTAAAATTATATTTAGAAGTACAGTTTGTCAAAAGATATAATTTTTGAGATGGTGGGCTCAAATTCTTCATCTAGTGCGTCCATCTATTCTGGAAATATGCTATGGACCAAAACTGCAACCCAGGTACGTGCCCTTGACTAGGAATTGAACCCGCAACCCCTCAGTCCATGGCCAATGCTCTAACCGCTGAGCAGAACTGGCCAGGGCAGTGGGAACTTTTGTAAAGTTGAGAATTAAGTGCTCAGGAAGAAATGTATTATTCCTACAGAAAATGTCTAAATAAAAGCTATTGTTTCGAATGATGTATTTTCCATAGGGAATTATTTAGACCTTAGAAGTTAGCTCATGCAAGCTCGCACTTACACATCGTTGTTTTATTCTCCTTTATAAGGAAATAAATTATATTCCACCCCCAAAAGGGCAATCATCTTTAAAAAATCTACTCTGCAAAAACTATTGTTACGGTCCGGTGAAGTTATGACAAGGAATATATCTAGGAACAAGGCTTCAAAGTCTAAGCTATTGCTCCATTGCTTGCAGTTACCTTGGATTTTAACTAGAGGTGCAAGTTGACTTCTGACCATGGGGAATCTTCTCCATGCATGGTATGGATTGTTGAGGCCATGGCAGATACCCAGTTCCACAGAAGCAACTTCATGTTCTTCTGCGGAAGATCCATAGCACTGTGGAACAAGAACTATAAATGAGCAATGCCACAGAGACTGCAAATGGGGTTACCAAAATACAACCCTCAAAAATCAACTCGGAAGGTGGAAAATCTACAACAAAAATTTTTAAATAGTTTTAAAATAATTTCGGTTATCGTGTGCAGAGCACTGATGGATATTCAGTAGAAATGGCACGTGCTTCTGATGGATGCAACAATCAAAAGAGCTGTTGATGTCAAGCTCATTAAGTAGATAATCATATAACTTTGCTATGAAAAAAAGTTGTCTGCAGTGCCAGAATTCAAAACTCGATGTCTAGAAAGAAAAAAACAAAAAACAAAAAAACAAACAAAAGAAAACATTCAAACTGTAGTAATAAAATATTTGGTCTTTAATCATTTCAAGTTAAATTATGTTTGAAAGCTCCCCTTCCTCCACCCATAGTCACACACAAACACACCAATTTTTAAATCTTTTATAATGGCCAAAGAAGGGGTTTACATAGATATTTTTATTAATGGAACTCACTTTTTTATTTAGTTTTTAATACGTTGCTAATCCATTTAGCCTCAAATCAGTTCCATTCCATTCCTCAAATGCCTAACAGTTAGTGTCCTGTAACAGGAGAGCATCCTGTGGAACTTTGGGAATTATCTGTTCAGGGCTTAAATAAGAACAGTTTATAAAGCTCTCCCTCTCTTCTTCAGCCTCCATCAGGAATGATAAAGGCATTTCCAGAGGCAAATGATTCTCTTCCCCTCTCTGCTCATCCTCCTCCAGCCCCTCCTCTTCTGTTTCCTCTGCTTCCTCCTCTTCCGCCTCCTCCGCATAGTCAGCCTCTTCCACCTCCTCTTCATCCTGGGGCTCGGCTTCTTCATCCTCCTCCTCACTCTCCTCCTTCCCATCACACTCCTCCTCATATTTCTCCTCTTCCTCTTCCTCCACCAGCTGTGGGGCCTGAGCCTGATTTTCCGCCTCAGGGACAGGACTAAAGGCCAGAGATGGATTCTGCACAAAGCCATACAAAATGTCCTGCAGCTCCGCGTCTTCCTCCTCACCCATGGGAAGGGCTTCGTGTCCACCTGCCTGGGCCTGCTGAGCCCGCAGCGCCTCCTGCTGGCGCTCCAGCTTCTCCTGCTGCTGCATGTCCTCGTAGATCTGGTTCATGATGAACTGGGTGGTGTTGCGCGGGGCCCGCATGCCGTAGCGGTTGACCTGCCGCAGCAGTGGGCTCACTTCCACCGGTGGGCTCCTCGGGAGGGGGCGGCTCGGGTGGCGGCGCAGGCCACGGCCCCTGCGGCCCCAGCGCTTCTTCCGGCCGGGGGGCCTCGCCCAGCCGGGGTTCCAGGGCCCACGCCAGCAGACGCAGCAGCAAAGACAGACTGGGTGCAGACCATACATTCGGGTCGCCTGCACTGGGCTGGGGGGCTTCCGGTACCCCATTGGAGGTGGGCACCAGGGCCCTCCCCAGCACCCCCAGTTAGAGTACATGGCCCAGTGAGGACTTCGGGGTGGTTGGAACCAAGGGCCTGGGCCGTACCGTGGCTTCGGCCGTTTCCTCTGGGGCTCGTACTGGGCTTTGGAGCCATAGTGCTGCCGTCGCTTGTAAATCGGGGCGCCCCTGCGCCTTTGGTGGCAGGAAGACCAAGTGCGACACGGAGCAGAGGATGCCCAGCCGCTTCCCACGTTAAGAGGGTCTGCACTTTTATTGAGGGTCTGGGTCATGGTTCCGGGAGCTTCGAGAGGTGTGGTGGAAGCGCCCTAAAAGCGGTCCTCGAATGAGGCCAGATCCGATGTTCTGAACAGCCTGGCCAGCCGCTGCGATCCCGCCTTTCCTCTCCAGGGGACCCCTCTCCGCTCGCTCGCTCGCTCGCTCGCTCTTCTGTGCTAAGCGTTTGTCCTTCGCACCCGGGTTGTGTCGCCCAGGCGGGCGGGATGGGACTGGTGCTGGGTAAAGATGGTGAGGAGGAAAATGTTGACGGGCAACACTAAGTGACAGCCGCTCCCGGGTCCCTCACACACACCCGCCTCCGCAGAGGTTCCAGCTGGGGACTGGGGAGGCAGGGGTTGCGCGTTACCTTGTGGCTCCCCCTCAACCCAGATGCTTCTCGGTCGGTGTCCTGGCCCGACTGGGGTGGCGCGGGCAACGACAGCCTTTAAATACCGGCGGGATCCCCGCGTGCCACCGCGTCCTTGGTTGCCTGGGCGACAGCCAATTGGAGTGGAGGCCGTTCTCGCTGTGCGCGGAGGCCGGTTCGGCAAGAACGAGGGGCCCCCGTGAGCGTTCTCAGGGGCTTGTGACGTAGTTTCGAGGGTGGCAAGGAGAGCGGGTGACTGGGCGTCTGTTGCCCCAATCAGGAAACCCTTGAGGCAGTTTATTTGAACCCTTTGTACCCTCTCCAAGCATAGGGATATAGATGATGGCCCTTCCGCTGAACGGGACAGGGCGAGACTTGTGTATTAATAAATGTATATCCTACCTCTTGGGGGTGGGGGCGGGGAGGATAAAGAGAAAGCTCTTCCCACCAGAAAACTGGGCCCCACTCCTACCTTATGGGCAGTGCCCAGTCTTCTAATATCTGGGGGCCACGGCTCATGATGCACCAAGCAAGACCCAAGCATTTATTTCGTTGATTGTTGCGCGCGCAGGTGGGCTCGTGGCACATAATCCTCACGCCCACCCTGGGACGAAGGTGTTGTTACCGCGCCTCGCAGGTTTGGGAACTGGGAGGTTCATTTGCCCAAGGTCATGGGGCTAATGAACTTTAGGGCTAGTGTTGAAGACCAGGTGTGTTTGACGGCAGAGCCCTAATTCTTAACATGGCTACAGCGGATTACATACTCACTTTAAAAAGGGCTCTTGTGCTGAGCAAATGAAACCGGTGTGAGCAAGCCCTTTGCTAATTGTAATGTCTGTGGATGGATGTAATCCATGGGTTCTTGAAAATACAAATATTCCAGTATGTCCTTCCTTTTGTCCCGTTATTGGCCAGACAGCACATATGTTGGAAGCCTTTACGGTATTGTGATTAAGAATATGGGCTCTAAGTAGACATAAACCTAGTCTGAAGGGTGCGATTTTGTGGATACATATCATTATACATTTATCCAACTCCAAAGAATGTACATCAAGAGTGCACCCTAATGAAAACTATGGGGTTTGAAAGACAATGGTGTTTCCATGTAGGTCATCATTGTAACAATGTACCACTTTAATGGGGGTGTTTATAATGGGGAGGCATGAATGAGTGGGGGGAGGAGGTACAGAGGAAATCTCTGTACCCTGTGCTTGATTTTGCCATGAACCTAAAACTGCTCTAAAAAGTAAGGGGTTTGGACGGTTTGACTCAGCAGTTAGAGCATTGACCTGCGGTCCAGAGACACCCAGGTTTGGTTCCTGCTAAGGGCACGTACCTCGGTTGCAGTTTGTCCCCGGCCCTGGTTGGTCATGCAACTGGCAGCCACTCAATGTGTCCCTGTCACATCAATATTTCTCTCTTCCTCTCTCTCCCTCCCACTCTACATGAACAAAAAATGAAAAATGTCCTCGGGTGAGGAAAAAAAAAAAAAAGTAAGGGGTATTAAACAATAGAAGTGCTTCAACTTCAACTCACCAATTATTAACCTCTGTCGGTTTCCAGCTCCTTACCCATGCTGTGAATATAGTTATAATATCTATCCCACAGGGTTGTGTACAGATTAAATAAGATACCACATTAAAGCACTTAAGGCAGGTGCTCAGTAAGCACTCAGTAACCGTGAAGTTATCATTATCATATTTAAATACTCTAGGACTTTTAAAGAAGTTGATATAGTGTACATGAAAATAACCCTGTGCATGATGCAAATTAGGCATCCCCACACCTGTGTCCTTTTCCCGTCCCCCTTTTTAGAAATATAAAACAAGTACTACCAGGCTTGATTATAGACAAAACTGCCCCAGATTATATTCCCCCTTATTTACCTTCCTGCAGTGAGTCAAACTGTGCAAAATGGAACACTTCCTACTGGGGACCTGAGTCTACACATGCCTCCGTTAAAGGACAGAAAAAGTAAAATGTGGGGAAGCCCTGAAGCTTGCAGAGGTCATCTGTGCATTCCTGGTTGAAAACAGAGAACAGTGTGGGGTGGCAGTCCTGCATCAGGACTCCAGCCATCCCTATGAGGCCTGTAGAAGCCACAGGCTTCATTCAACTGTACTTGCTCTGTGCTCTGCTGAAGTCAAGCCTGCTTGACTCCAAATGCAGCGTGTTAACGCCTTCAGCCTCCGGGGTCCCTTTCTGGATGTAGACTCACGCCTTGGCAGTTATGCTCTGCCTACTCTGCTTAACTCAGAACTGACTGGTGATATTCCAGATTTATTTTTCTAAGGACGTGACATATACAAGATTGGGTTTTAATTGAGGGTTTTAGAAACTGACCATGTTGCTATAGTGGAATTCCCATCAGTTTCTTTGTTTTAAAATAGATGATTAACTGACAGATAATTAAGGGCATCGTTTTTTTGATAAGTTGATGTGAACTTTATACTACAAATAACATTGGCTTTCTACATTTTTTGCATGGTGATATGTGTATATATATATATATATATATATATATCTTTAATTTTCATTCTATAAAAACATTAATGCAGTATTGCCTCACCCATTCTTTCTCTTTGTAAGAGAAGCAGCAAATTGCAATTTATGATTTTTCATTTTTTAAGGTATTGGCATTATAATACAAGTTATTCATGTATGTTTAAGAAAATTAGCACCAGAACATGTCACATACACCCTTCAGAAATATAGTTTAGGTATTTTTAAGACATATTTTAATTGAACCATATTCTTTACACACCGCAAAATGAAATGGTCTGATTCAACATTAAAATATAACACATTTACCATGATTTCATATATTGTATTAGTTTTCTGTTGCTTCTTTTAAAAATTCCCACAATCTTAGTTACTTAAAACAGATTTATTATCTCGAACTTTCCAAGCGTCATGGGTGCAGGAACAGCTTACTTGTGTCCTTTGCTTAGGAGCTCACCAGGCTGTGATCAGGGTATTCAGCAGTTTGGTTTCTCATCCTGGGGCTCAACTCGGGAAAATCTACTCCCAAGATGATTTATGTTATTGGCAGAATGTGTTTCCTTGTGGCTGAATAATGGAGGGCCCTGCCTTTTAGCTGCCTGTTGGCTGGAGGATGCCTTCCGGTGTAGAGGCCGCCCACAGGTCCTGGGGAACAATCGTGGTCCCTAGAGGCTGCCTGCTGATCATTGCCACCAGCTTCCTCAACACAGCTGCTTACTCCGTCAGACCAGCAAAGAGGATTGCCTTAGAGCTTTCTATTACAATAAACACACACACACACACACACGTATGTATCATAACCATGGGCTTGACATTTGTACATCCATCACCTTTGCCATATCCTGTTGGTTAGAAGCAAAGCCCAGGTCCTACCAGCACACCAGGAGAGAGAATTAAGAAAAGGGATGAACACCAAGAGGCTGGAAATAATGTGGAATCAACTTCGAGTCTGTTTGCCATACACATCAATACATTTATCAAAATTTGTCCTTCATATTTACTGGTTACAACTTTATTTGGTAAACTTTGATGTCATTGTTGCATTTGAAATTCTGATAAGTGTCGTATGATGGGATGATTTTGCTAAATACCTTGCAATCTTGGAGTTGGTTTCTGTGCATTTGTGTGACTTGAATGCATTCTAACACTTGATGGCAGTAGTAAGTCATTCAAAATTTAGTCAGCAGGACTATTAAGCATACCATATTTAAACAATTCCAGGCTGCCAATATTAATTGCTATGTATTCTAGTTCAGTGGAATTGGGTATATTTGTTAGATTTTAATATTTTTTCATTGGGTTTTGGAAAGCAAACATCAGCTAATTAAACTTGTACATAGAATTTTTTAGAAACAAGTTGCATATACTTGATATATTTGGTCAGAGAAATGAAGTACAACAAATATTTTTAGATTCATCTGTGTAAGCAATGCACTGCTATGTACACAAATAAATGGGATATGCTATGGGATACAAATAAATACCAATAATATAAATAGAATTCATTTCATGCACTCCTAAAGACTTATCTTTTTCTACCCCCAATATATTTACCTATAACAATGATTTTCTACTTTTTTTCATATCATTGTACACATAAACTAATTACTAAAATTTTTCAGCACACCAAAAAATATTTGTTTTTGCCAGTCTGTCAAAAAAAATAGGTATGATTTTGATCCATTCACACTAGATGGTTACATTGTATTGGTTGCTGTCATTTTTTAATTTGACAATTAAGGGAAAAGAGAGTAGTGCCCCCAACTAAATAGTGAAGCATTGCATGTTTTAAACATTCTTGGGGCACACCAGTGTGCTTCTCACAGGGCACTGGTTGAAAATTGCTGACCTATAGTAATTGAAACCAAAAAGGTCGGTGCCATCTAATGGTCACAGAGGCTAAGCACAGGTATTAACCTTTCAGACTTTTCCATAGTGAGATAAAAGGATTTAAAAGTACTCATTCCTTTTTCTGGATAATTTGGGAAACTGTGGGGTTAGTTTCCACATTAGTGAAGTGTGTTGTAGATCAGGAAATACCCATTTTGGTATTTTTTATTTATAAATATAAACCCTCATATTATTATAGCAAATTACAAAAGAAGGTTAACTTTGTAATGAGATAACTGTAAAGACAATGTTTCT